GTTGGAATAGACAGTTGTTGGGCCCAAGAGTTCATGATCTGCAGTTACTAGACTTTTTTTGGGGGGTTACTATTGACCACTTGCCTATTTCACACTGCCTTTTTCATATGTCTAATAAATGCCCATTTGCGAAACTTCTCAGCCTGGATAAAGGAAGCAGATGCGTACAAAGCTTGTGATGTAACTAAGAGAGACCGTTTCATTAGGTTTTCTTATCCTTGTCACTGGTTGTGGCTGCAAGTATGGTTAGAATATGAGATTGGGTTATCCACGGCCTCCACCTAAGAGAAGAATGACAAAGGAAGCACCAAATCAAGAATATAACATAAACAAACAGTTTACAAAAATTTTACGCTTTATTATGTTCTATCCAATGTAATAACAATGCATATAGATTTTGATAATACTAATCCTCTTTATTCATCACCAATGTTACACGGATTCTTCTATTTTTCTCTGAGTACCCGTTTCTACTGGATATGATAAGGGCAAGAAGTAGGATATGTGTTCAACACCTGTACTTGGTTTAGATATTTGGATCCTCAAATTTTATATGATGTTTGAAGAAGAAGAAACTCACATTTGCTACCAAGGACATATTTCTTGCCTTAGAAATTTCTTATTTTTCCTAAATCTTATTTAATTTTAAGTACATTTCTAAATAGTTTACATCTTCTTATCTAAGAGTATAATACAATATGCAATATAATTAAGTGTTCAGGACGTGTCCCGTACTCATACCCCACTTTTGGATACATATCCCAATACCCTAAGATTTAGGTTTAGAAAATTAGACGTGTGGACATGCATCCATGCCTAATTACCTGAGTCCATATAACATAGTTCATTACTAGGTCAAAGAAAACGACACTCACAAGTAGAACAAGCTCATCAAATTCTAGCTTTGATCTAAAAACCCTCCACTATCATACCGTTTTCGAAGTATGTGGTGTTATCATGTTCTTTCCTATTCCATGTACCATAAAGATCAGCATCCTAGGTAAAATTAGAAATCCTAAGTTTGTGACTCGGCTTGCTGGTGTTCATTTACTTGGTCAATTGCTTTGCTTGGAAATTTGAATGTAGACATGGTGATGTGTCCCCTTCAATCGCACTAGGTTTAACATATAAAGTGAAACCGCATTGCATGTTAACTTGGACTGTTAAATATTTGGAATTGTAATTTGATGAATTGCATTTGCATAGAATAATGTCGTTGTTTGGTATAACCTTGGAATTGCTTCGTACTTTTTTGTTATGCTTATTTACTTTCTTCAAATTTGCTATAATTCTGTATTGAACGAATCAGCCTCTTCTAGTGATACTAGTGTTTAGAGTCTATGCACTGTTCCCTTATATTAAGATAGTTCCTGTTTTAAGTGAATTTATGTAAAGCATGCCATAAACAATTATGCCAAATTAATAATATTTTGTAATATCAACTATGTATAAACAAACTTGTTTATATAAGTGAGGTATATTTCCTAAGATCTCTTTTTTAATGTACTATGCAGGAAGATTTCAAATCATCACTTTTGAGGAGTACATTTCAATTGCTTTAGATGCATCAAGAGTTGTCGGAATATATCCAGAGATTAAATATCCAGTATTTATCAACCAGCATGTGAGTAACTAAAAGAGTAAAGCTTTATCTGCTATGCTGCTGCAAAATGGTTTTATGAAACTGTCGTTTGATAACGTTGTTCGTTTCCTGTTCACACATGTTTTGAAAACAAAAAACTTATTTAGTGAGTTGTCTCGTCAAAGGTGGTAACCGGCAGTGGAGGGTGGCTAAATTTGTTAGCCAGAGGTCATCAGGTTGAGGGAGCAGTTGCGGAAGGTGGCCAGAGGTCATGGGCAATAATTGTCTGGTCACCAGAGGGTTGCCGGCCGGCAGCCAGTGGTGGCTAGTGGTGGTGGTGGAGGGAGGAGAGAGTAAAAGCTTGTTTTGAAAACAAGCGAAAACACATTTTTTCGTTTCCAAAAATTTTGAAATCAATTTTACTTTTTTGAAAGAAAAACAATATATCAAACAAGTTTTTGTTTCTAGTTTTCAAAAAAATGAAAATGAAAATGTAAACAGAAAACAGAAGCTACCAAACGAGTATGCTGGTTTAGTGTGATATTGATGGAAGTGACTGGAGTCACTAGTGTTTATCAGAAACACTAATGCTCAAACTGCTGCTTTCAACAGGTGAAATGGCCAGGCGGTAAAAGATTCGAGGACAAATTTGTGGAGATGCTTAAGAAGTATGGATATAAAGGTTCATATATGTCGAAAGATTGGTTGAGACAGCCTGCATTTATCCAGTCATTTGCTCCAACATCACTTATTTATGTCTCGAACCAGACTGATCTGCCCAAAATCTTCTTAATTGATGATGTTACGGTACCAACCCAGGACACAAATCAGGTTCTCCTCATTTCCTTGGCTTCCTTTTAGACTACTATAATCAGTTATTATAAAACTTCACTTTTAATGTCGAAAAAAATGTAGTAATGTTGTTCAATATAAATGGCGCATCCACAGTGATAATCTTGCTGGAACTTTGTTTCTTCAACTTGGCTTTTCTTCCCTCTCTTTTATATATGTGGCGCACACGAGGATGTGTTGCATGCGTGCACCAACGCACAAGGAATTAAAGTTTCTCAATTCAAAACATCACACGAGTTGTAAAATCATTATGCAATCTAGAGTATATTATCTGCGGTTTTTTAGAATTTGGAGGATCTTTGATGTTACATGGACTCTTCTAAATTTATATAGTACTTGTGTCGGGTACTTGACAGTCGAGTAAGTTTACCACAAAAACTATGCATAAAACTATCATGAAATGTACACTAACAAACTATGCATAAAACTTTGAATTATTCATCTATCAAACATATGTACTAATTCATGTTTACCATAAAACTCTCATATTATGCATAAAATGTTATATGGAATCTTGTGAACACTGTTTTACCCTAAAAATGAAGTATATTAAGAAATATGAATATTTTACTGTGCACCTAGACACATGCACCCGACACTTATACCTAAGCCCATGTCACAGAATCTCTGAATTGTGTATTTTTACTATTGCTCATTGTCTCGGGTGTCTGCTGTATATGATGACCTGTTCATTTTGAAGTCATGATCTATGTTATTGCTATTAAAGTAATATTATTTCCGATATATGCAGTCATATTGGGAAATCACTTCAGATGCTTACCTCAACTACATTAAGGAATACGTAGTGGGAATCGGACCTTGGAAAGATACAGTGGTTCCTGTTGTGAATAATTATTTGCAGACACCAACCGATCTTGTCACCAGAGCGCATGCCCATGACCTACAGGTGCATATTTCTCACTCTGAAGTTCATATGAGATTATAATCTAATCAATATCTTGAGAATTTGTATCTTTCTGGTTATATGACCTGGTCTTTGTATGTTAATCGATGGTGAACCTTTCAAATAATGACAACTTCCCAAAAAAAAAAAAAAAGAAAAGAGAGAGAGAGAGACAGAAAGAAAAGGAAAGAGCGGAGGTTTAACTGGAGCTATGGGTCAATCTGTAAAGATGAATATCCTGAAAAATGTTGCAAGCCTAGAAAAGGATTTATCTGTTCGAAGGATTTATCTCAACTCGTACTAGTGATAATCTTGTTCGAAGAGTATTCAAAAATTTTCATTTTTGCTTGTATACTCAAGATTTTGTTTTCCATTTGAGTTAAAATTAAAATATGCAAAATCTTTACTTGGTTTTGTGATTTCGTTTCAGGTGCACCCATACACGTACCGGAATGAGAACATGTGCTTACACTACAACTTTAGTCAAGACCCTTACATCGAATATGAGTACTGGATAAACAAGATAGGAGTAGATGGACTCTTTACAGATTTCACCGGCAGCCTCCATATGTTTCAGGAATGGAACTCCCCTTTCTCGTTGGATGACAAAGATGCATCTGCTCTATTGCATAAGATTGCATTGATGCTCTCCAAGTATAGAAAGAAATGAGATATAGTTCATTGTATTTTTTATTTTGTATTGAACATTTGTTGTCAAATGTAACCTCTACTTCTACACAGAAAAATTTTAATAACAACTTTCTTTTCCATTTTTATAAACCAAGCCAAACCAAATCAAATTTTAAGTTTCATCAAATGGTGTCAGTTATATGAAATTAAGCTTAAAAATAAATGTTTGTGTTGCATTACATTCCACCAGTATGTTATCATAATCAAGCACTGGATTAAGGGTGTGAATTTTTGGCATAACTCAAACCGTATACGAAGTTAATGAGTTATAATTGATAATTTTTTGATGGAAAATGAGTGGGAGCACTAATTAGTGCTACCACTAATGATGTGGTAGTAGGTCCCACCATGAATGATTTGATGTTTTGGCATTGGTGTTGTATTTTTTTTCTTTTTTTATTGAGTGCCATGTCATTAGTGGTTATTTTAGAGCTCTAAAATTAGTGGTCTCTATCATTGTTGTTTTTTGATACAAACATGAATAATATAATATAACTAACTCATTTAATGAAAAATTAATCACATATTTTAATACTATTTTTACTAAAAGGTGCTATAACATTTTTAGCACCTTCTATAATTCCATCCAATTGAATAAAAAAATATTTTTTCCAAAATGAATAAAAAAGTATATAATTTTTTATTTTTAGTTAATATAATGTATTATCTAACATAAAATATGATAATAGGGTATAATATTTAAAAATTAGAAAAATGGAAATATTTTTTGTAATAAACATTAGTTTCATGAAATTTAATTTGTGAGAAAAAAATAATAATTTTACTACACTCATTTTTCACTAACTAAAAAGTAAAAATTATTGACATGACACTATTTAAACAACACGATAACAACACAAACAAACAAGTTAGGCTATTATTAAGGTAATTCTAACACAATCCCAACTGACAAAATGAACACGATGTTGTATTGATGCCCACCCCTACACTGCACCAACGACCGAACAAGTCTTATTCATCAAAAGGTCTAGAAGATTAAGAAAAATCAGAACTTCGAATTTGTTATGAACATTGATGAATGCAAAAAAAACCACCAATATTGATTGTCTGGAAAACATATAAACTGTGTTCAGTTCAAAGTTCAATAAAGTAAGACTAGACACACTATTGAGATACTTTCATCTTTGATATCTCCTCCAGCAAAAACCTGGATTCAGCTGCAAAATCAACTGGGCCAACTGCTCTGACTGTTATCCTCTGCCTTTTCTCATTCATGTACTCATGTGGTGTTACACTGACTCGGAAAATATGAGGAACCCATGTAACTTCTTTCAGTTTCTGTTGGAAAGAATGTTTTTCTCCCTCCTGGAATGGTGAAAAGTAACATAATTAGTTAAGAACTGCTTTCTTCAATCAAGTATCAAATCAATTTTGTTTATCGATAGTTTACCTGAGATTTTAGATTATCGAGCTCATCAGCAGAGCACCCAACAATTATCTCCGCTTGTTCATTGAACACAGAGAGCTTCGCAGCTTGCATCAGAGACTTTCACTACCATTATGTATCTGAAAATTAAAACAAAGAAATTAATTTGGATCAAAGCATTCATAGAACAGATTCTGCCATGTAATGCTATCATCGAATCCAAGTCTCAAGTTTTCAAAGATCCAAACCCTAAGCTGCACTCTTCATCATTTTTCTGGCATCCCTCACACCAATACCCAGATCCAATAGCTTCGGTTACTTTCTTGTTTGCAGGTCTTACAAGCACGATACCACATGGTTTGATCAGGCTTGATGAGGCTAATGTATACTTTTATGCTGAAAAATACAGGCTGCCTGACATAATTAAGTCGAGTGTCAGAAGCTCAGAATTCAGTTTCAAGTTGTGATAATAACAAAAAAATTAGAAACAGTCCTACCCATGCCTTGATAACATGAAATCTAAAGAAACTGAAAGCAGATGTGACTTAATATAGCCCTCTTTCATCTTTTTTCTTTGTTTAGAACTTTAATCTTTGCTGATTTTCAATATTTCTTGCACACATACAAAAAAAAAAAGAAGCTTCTGAGTTGGAATGACCATGAAGAGATGCTATGGTTACCTTCTCCTCACCCAGTGATGGGTTATGGGTTATGTGAGGAAGGGGGACTCGGTCAGAGTACATGGACCTCATTCCATTGTTGGTTGCAGGGCTTATTCCAGATCCAATAGAAGCCATTGAAGTCACTTCACCTTCACAATCATACCTATATGCAAAATGACAATGATTTTCCGTAGCTTATTAAAATAAACTTAAGTCACTAAAGGCACAAAGACTTACCAGGATCTCAACTTTCTCGATTCTGCTGTGTCTGGATTTACCACTACAATGCTCTTGCTCAAAGCCGACAAAGATACACCTGCAACAACAAAAACATCACATATTATTAAACTAAATAATTATTTACTTACAAATTTGTTACCTGTCAAGACATTCTAGATTACCTTGGAAGTCGCCAACTTTTAGTGATTTAGGCCTTCTTTGGAAACCCTCTATTTTAGTCAAAAAGTTACTAAATTAGCCAAAAAGCTTACAACCCATACCAAAAAGTCAAAGATTCTTTTTTTTCTTTACTTTTTGCACATATTTTCATAAAAAGCCAAAAAGTCATCCCAAACATACTAGTTTTTTTTAACTCATATTTTAGCCAAATAGTCAAAAAGTTACTAAATTAGCCTGTTTCCAAACGAGGCCTTAATTGCAACTATAGGAAACTTATCAGAAATATCCAGCAGTTCTTGTCCTATATTTGTCACGGGATCATTCCATAGAGACACCTGTGAGAACATGCCTATATTCTTTTTTCCTTTTAGGATTAGGAAGTAGAGTTCTATATCTATCAAAATTCTATATCAGTGATGTATTCATTTAGGATTAGGAATTAGTGTTAGTGATGTATTCGTTTAGGATTAGGAATCAGTATTCTATATAAGTGATGTATTCTTTGTTCAATGAATTCAATCTAATATACAGTTTCATTCAGAAAACTTACATGGTATCAAAGCAGGGGCAGAGATAACTGGTGGAGGAGGAGCCTTGCGACGAGAATAAACTAACAACGGAGGAGAAGAAGAAGCCGAAGGAGGAGAAGCAACCAAAGGTGAAGCAGGAGGAGAAGATGAAACAAGCGCAGGAGGAACTATGGAGATGTACTTAGCAGATGGAACCTCAGAAGGAAATGGATCAATATGAATCAAATCCTCTTTGAAAACTGGAGTGATGAGGGAAGCAAGCTGAAAGGAAGATAGACGTTCGAGAAAAGCAATATAGTGGGAGACATAAAGGCGACAAGAAACAGGGTCATAACAGCGATAATCTTTCTGAGTGAGACTATAACCCAAAAAGACACATAAGACCAAGGTTTTAAAAAGCGGCCGCAACCGTTACGTAACACCGTTACGTAACGGTTTTGGCAGTTACCACCATCCGTTACGGTCGCTTTTGCAGTGTGATTGAGATTCACAGGTATGTCGGCCGTAGCGACTGTCATAGCGGTCGTAACGGTGCCGTAATAGCCGTAACGGCCTGTTACGCACCGTTACGTAGCGGTTCCAAACTGTTTCTTTCGAAAAAACACACAAAAAAAAACTGAAAATGGGGGAAGAGAGATAGAGAAAAGAGGGAAGATAAAGAGAGAAAATTGAGGAGCAAGAGATAGAGAGAGAGAAGAGGGAAGATGAAGAACATGTTATTGATTTGTTGAAGCTGTAAGACCTATGTTATTCTATTCAGCTGCTATCACTAATCCATTTTGTTTGTATGTGTCTATCTATATATTGTTTGAAAATAATAATAATAATAAGTATGGTCGTTATCTATTTGGCTTGGTTAAAATATGTATATATATATATATATATATATTTAGGCTCTTATTTATTGTCTTACTTTTATCATTGATTATCTTATATATAATAGTTAGTGATTGATTTTTTGTATAATATAAAGTCATTAATTATTAAAATAAAATGTAAAAAACTCAATTTATAGTGATTTAAAAATATGAAATATATTGGATCATACTTAAAAATTTACAAAAATTTATCAATATTTATTTTTAACCAATAAATATGATCATGGAAAAAAAATATGCATATCGGTAAGTTTTTTTTAAATTGTGCAAAAAATAAAAAAATTCACGGTTTCGGTTACTGCAACCGTTACGCTACGGCCTTTACACCCCACAACCGCAACCGCGCCACCGCCACCGTTACGGCGAGCGCAACCGCTTTTCAGAACAAATTATCCAAAATGGTGGGTTATGACCCTTTTGATGCTGAAATGGCAAACACAAACTACGTTCGATTAAATACACCTTTTGAAGGTGAGATAACGACAGTGAGATGCTAACTAATGGCAAGAGATCATTAAATAAAACAGCCTAAAAAGACAAACTGCAGAAGATCTATGGCAACATAAAGATACAATATTACTTACAATGTTAGTGCAATGAGAGCAGCAGGGACATTCAAGAGGAACATCTTGAAATAGTCAACGGACAGGTCACTGTAAACCTACAAGACAAAGGTAAATCAGTTCAAGAAAACCCAAGGCTCAGCTCAGGTTTGCACAAGCATACACCCACTAAAAGTGTCATCAGGTGTGACAAAAAGGTAGTCAACTTTAAACATATGACGTTTACTTTTTAGAATAACAACAATTTTTCCCAACAATGTTAAAACCTACCATCACCTACTCCACCTACCACCACCTACTACCACCTACCACACACCTACCACTACCACCCATCTCAAAACTGTCAGCCAATTGTGTATTTCAAACAATTTGCATCTTACCACCTCAGCGTTCCATACAGTTCCAATTGAGAATCAGAAAAAGCTATAAAAATAAAAATTTACCTCCAAAAGATATGTGATTTCAAATCCAGTCAAATCATCCAGGAAGAAAAACCTGTAAAAACAAGAAAAACATTTAAAACCTTGTTGAGCATCAAAAAATGCTGTAAATTCAGATCCACAAAAATAGCCTTCTGCCATCACTACCAGATGAATCTTCATTAGTTAAGAAAATTACCAAAAAAAATACAGAAGTGTGCACATTTTTTAACCTCCAACAAATGTACAATAT